CTTGTAGAAGCAATTGTAAGGAGCTTAAGATCACAATGCTCAGTGAACATCACAAGTCTCATTCCATAGTTCATAATAAAATTCTTGATCCAAGTCACATCTTCACCAATATACTTTATCCAATAACAAGCTTCATACACATCTTCATTGTTTCTTGTGCTATGTGATGGTGCACATATATTCTTCACAGCAAGGTTCAAGGTATGAACCACATATGGTGTCCAAACGATAGTAGGAAACTTAGCTGAAATAAGTGCACCAGCTTTTGCACAACTTGAAGCATTGTCAGTAACTTTATGTACCACATTCTCATGCCCTACCTCCTTTATGCATTCTATGATCAGCTCTACAATCATCTCACCGGGTTTTTCTTCACCTTGACTATTGATCGCCCTCAACATCATTGGACCACTCTCATTTCCAGAAATTATGTTAAATATTTATCTTTGTTGTGGATCTGACCAACCATCACTACATATACTAACTCATTTTTGCTTCCATGTGTTCTTCAAAGACTGCAAGTGCATGGCAATGTTCTTTCTCTCTTTTTGAAGAAGTGTAATTCTCAATGAATTATACCTAGGTGGAACATATCCTGAGATTTTTGATGCACGCACATATGAGTTGCAGTAGTGAGGATTTCTTGCAAGGTTAAAAGACAAACCACATGTATAGAACATTCTAGCTACCTCACCATCACATTGCTCTATAGCTTCATTCTGAAATCTTTTTTCCAAATGACCCATTCCCTTTCTCTTTTTTTGGGTCAGATTCACTTGCACTAGAAACTTTATAGCTTATATCATAATCAAGAGAAGAACTAGATGGTTTCTTTGATGAGGAAGGCAACAAAACATCTTTAGGAGCTGCACGTTTTATCCTCTTCTTGCATTTATCAACTAATTTTTTTATGTGAACTCTTTGTTGAGGAATAACCTTCAAGCATCCTTTAATTCTTTTGATTCCCTCTTGTAAGAAATGAGTTGTTACTCTACATTCCATGCTTGCAGAAAAATTTGCACTCAAACATTCCATGATCCTCCTCCAACCAGCTTCTCAATTTTTTTATATAGATCCACAAAGGTGCTTTTATTATCCACATTAGGCGATTCATCAATATTTGGAGGACCTTGAGACATACTAATTCTGAAGAAAAAAAACAAGTCCCTTTAGCTTATATACTTTTGAATATTATGTCTTCAACTAATAAATATAACAATCTCAAGTTTGAAACTTCCGATCAGCATAACTAATCAACTAAAATCTCAAAAGCTCTCGAAACAACATACACAACACAAGAAAACATAATATAATTAGAATACTAAACAGAATAACAGATTTAGAAGAACCTTTTTTCTAGTTTATGATCAGAATAGAAATCAGAGGTGGACTCCTGAGTTATGCACTTCTGCACTTCTAATCTCGTTACTTTTAATCAATCGTAATTAGGTTTTTTGCTTTTTTAAGTTTATAACAAATTGGCTAATGGACCACTTATCAATTTACAAACCTAAAAACAGTTGTTAACTTTTGTTTAAGTTCGACTAAACGTGAGCCAAGTCTTCCAATCAATACCGGCAATGCTTCGGACTCAAAATCGCTCGCTTCTGCCATGCTTTGAGATGCCTCATTTCTGGAAGTGCGCTTCTGAAATTATTCCACATGATTCTGAGTGCTTGCGCTTCCGAAGCAAGAAACATCTCACCAGCGACGCTTCCATGCTATGTAGCAAGAAAGATAAAAAAGGGAAATAAAAATATTAATTAAAAACAATGATCCAAAATCACAAATTTTGTTCTTGTTCTTGAAAGAAAGAGATACAATAAAAAGATAAGATAATAGATGATGGATAGCCCTTAAGGTTATTAGGTTCAACAATATAGAAAAAGTCAAAGATTGGTCAAATTCTTGGTCAACATTCGGATGAGTCACACTGAGCAGAATAGCTTGGGATTTGGTTGGTGTTCTTGCTCGGTGCGTGTGGAAATGCTGCATCAGACAGTCGGCTTGGCAGTCTTCTCAATCACGGCTTAGATTAAGAATGCATTGGACAATTCATGGAATGGTTCTCCTCGGTGTAGCTCCTCGATATTTTATGTGTCTTCAGATATCGGGCTTGGTTAGCTGAACCTCCTCGGTGCATCCTCTGTCCAGCACATTGGTCATAACCCCTTGGCGTGGTATACATCAGTCATGACATCTCTGGCTCTCCTCGGTGAACGTGCTCGATATGGCTCAAAACACCTTGATCATTTGCTTTCAGTTTGACTCTTCTACTCCACTTCAACCACAATTCATGTAATGGCCTCTTTAGCTCCATAAAGACTTAAAATTCACTCCAAATGCAACAATGCATGCATTCTAATCCCAGTGCACACTAAGTCTATTATGAATGCAAATGAGATTCTTTGGACTATCAGATGAATGAAAAGCCAAAAATGATGTAAATATGCAAGCTATCAAAAGGGTAAGACTAGCACCTTTTTTCTGTTCTGCTTTTCTTAAGATGGTGGCGTTTTGAACCTCTCTGTCCCAGATAGGGTCTCCGAGCACTCACTCTGCTGAAGCACGAGCTGTTGAAGGGAAAATATCGTGAGCGTGAGGTGTTGGACCAGGATAGTGAGCTTCAGATTGAGCTAATGATGGCTCGGGACCGTCTTAATAAGGCGCAGACTTCCGCACTTGGCGGAGAGTTGGAGAGAGAAGTGAGTCGTCTTAGGGAAAATTTGGATGATAGCCGTCGTAATTTGGGCGATCACTTTGAAATCCGGCTCCTTGCATGCCTTGGGATCATGGTGGTGATCTCTAAGTTCGGCAGGCGGCATCCCCTTGTCTAAGCCTCCGTAATCATTGAGTTTCTAGATGCTGTTGGGCTTTGATCCTTTTAATTTATTTTTAAAATTTTTTATTTTGACAAACACTTTCAGACATTTTGTGGCTTTGTCAATTTGATGTTTTTGCCATTCGTTCATGTTTTTATTATGCATTTTCTCCATGGACTTGATCAGTTATTTTGAAAGTGTCGACTTCTTAGCTGGAGCAGATATCAGAAATGCCCCTGGCTGTCTCTTAAAATTAATTAAACACTTGCATATATATCTTAGCACGTCATGATTCTTGAGAGGGGATGGGTGTCTGACTTGATCCCCCAAGATCTTCTTGCCTCGAGTGTCTGGTTTTGCACGAGAAGTACTTTCAGGATGGGCTGCTCTTGAAGGTCGTGGCTCGGGCCAGTTACCCGGCCTTACTTTGAAAGCGAGGGTTTCGTCCCCCTCCCTCCCCCCCCCCCCACCCCACCGCTCTGCTTTGTCTTCTAACTTTCGTCGGATGGCTTGTCCGGGCGACTTCCGTCGTCTTGACCGCTGCGGTTCCAGGCCACACCAATCAGTGATTGCCTGGTAGTGCTGTGACTATTTTGTTTGTGAGACTACATACAGGTCTACTCTCCTCTTTATAGCACCAATTGTTCGGGAGCAAACTACAGAATGTTTACAAGAGGTGTGAGTTCGTTTAGGTAGTGTAGTTGGGTCTCCGAGTTTTATCCTCTGAGGAGATGAGAGGTATGTGGATCCAAGGCGAAAGTCTAACAAGGTCCTGCATGTACCAGCAAGCGAGTAAGTCGAACCTCCAGGGGAAAGTCTGATATGGGTCCTGCATGTAGTAGCAAACGAGTAAGTAGGACCTCCGGAGGAACTGGAAAGGGGTATCTCCCGAAAGTTCTCCGATGTTCAAGTCAATGCACGCCCTACTGGGAACAGGAACTCTGGACGGTAGGTTTGGTGAGGTGTTAATGGTTTGGATACCCTGTCCGTGGATCATGATACCCATCTGATATTTGGTGAAGATGGAAACTGGGTAAAAGGACCATGACAAGAGCTTCACAGGTGTTACGATGTACAATAGAAGGGAGAAAGAAAACTTATCTCGGCTGGCGTTCCTTTTGGAGGGATGATGAGCATACCTCCTTCAGTCTTGCTATCTGATTAGGATCGGGACGAGCTCCAGTGGGATAGAGATTGGAAATCTTTTCTTTTTTTGTATAGTCTCTCTAGATGTGGTCTCTCTCTAAGTTTCGGATCCCAAGTTGCTGATTGCCGATCCTCTTTCCTTTGACCTTGGGCTCCCTTTTGTACTGTCTTCTCTTTGATAGGATTCATCCATACGGCACAACGCGGAAACAGATTAGATAGTACATTATGATATTTTTTAATTATATATATATATATATAAATATTATTTTAAAGTCTTAGAAAAAAATTCCAAAACGGATATACATATTTGTAAATTGGAAATTCACGTTTCCATGAAATTTCCAAATCAAGAATTTTAGAAAACATATTTTTATCGCATTTTCTCGCATTCATACCAAAATTCATTTCTGAAACAAGAAACGCAGCTTAACTAGAGTTTTCATGCAACATAGGTTTCATTATATTAAGACTTTGGTTATTTTTACGAATGTTTCTATCGAAAACTCATCGAAAAATACTGAAAACCATCTTATTAAAAACAAATCCAACACTTGGTCGGCTGATTGTGTTTGCTATAATTCCAAGGATTTTTCTATCTTGTTTTTTTTTCGTTCAGAATTTAGCTTCTGTTTCTCCTTTGTTCTATTTTAGCTAAAAAGTTAAAAAAAAAACAAAAAAAAACCTTCACAAATCACAATAGATCACATATCTAGTGAGCTATTGCAAACCGACTAATTCGGTTGTATGATTAATAATAAGAAGAGAACCAAAACAATAATCCATAAAACCGTTGGTGATTATTATTTGTACCAAGAATTTCGCTAAGCATATTCTCTTCTTTTCGTCTTTTTTCACATTTCGTTGTCTTTTTCTTTTTGTTGTCTCCTCTCGCATCTGTTCCTATCAATCGCAGATAATCCTGAGCCTCTCTGGATTACTCGAATTCCTCTCATCGCTTCCCTAAACGAATCAAACTAAAAAGACTTTTTGCACTTTACTCTTAAATCGGACTTCCCGAAGAATCCATCTATGGATCTGTGGACCCTTCAGGTGAAGGACACGGCGATCCGAACCCCTATCTTCTCATCGATCCCTGAGAAATCGCTTTCTAGGAAACTCGGTGCCGTGGAGATTAAGCTTCTGAAGCGTAAAATATCTACTTCTGGGTATCGTTCCTTGGTTGTTAGAGCTACATCGAAGAAGAGTAACGATGATTCTTCTGCTTCTGGTAAAGGCTTTCCATGCTGTTCTATTATCTTTATCTGAAGGCTCATTTGATGAATTGCATGTGGTGAAGATTTGTTAGTAAATCGGAGAATTAGGCATTATGATCGATCAAAATTGGATCTTTCAGGAGAAAGTGTTTAGCTTTGTTCTTGACACTAGTGAGCTCTATGCACTTTAGTGTCAAGCTCTATGCACTTTGTTTAGCTAAAGTTATGTGATGTTATAACATCTAAGCTAGTTAAAGATACTGTTCACGCTTGATTTGTAAGAAATTGGGGAATTTAGGCATTAGGATCGATCAAAATTGCATCTTTCAGGAAAAAGTGTGAGCTTTGTTCTTGACACTAGTGAACTCTGTGTACTCTGTTTAACTAAAGTTATGTGATGTTATAACATCTTAGCTAGTTAAAGATACTGTTTATGCTTGATTTTTTTTAAAAAATGGGGAATTTAGGCATTATGATCGATCAAAATAAGATCTTTCAGGAAAAAGTGTGAGCTTTGTTCTTGACACTAGTGAGCTCTGTATACTTTGTTTAGCTAAACTTCTGTGATGTTATAACATTTGAGCTAATTTAAGATACTGTTCATGCTTGATTTGTAAGAAATTGGGAAATTTAGGCATTATGATTGATCAAAATTGGATCTCTCAGGAGAAAGTATTTAGCTTTGTTCTTGACACTAGTGAACTCTGTGTACTCTGTTAAACTAAAATTATGTGAGTTTATAACAGCTGAGTTAATTAAAAGGGGAATCTGATAAGCATTACTTGGTTATGTTTGTGGTAATCTTAATCTCATAATGATGTGGAATTGGTTTATCATGATGATGATATACGATTGTGAGTCTACTACTCTTGATCACTTCTCCTTTATCTTTACCTGATTCTTTATCTTTTGTTCCTCAAGGAGGAGATGCTTCTCAGGAAAACAAGCCTTCTAATGGCAACAAATCAGGTGATTCCACTACTCCAAAGCCGTTTGGTCTAAATAAGGATTGGAGAGAGTTCAGAGCAAACTTGTTTATGAAGGAGCAGGTAATATCTTGATAGTTGAAGTTTGGCATCATCAACACATTCTTGGGGAGTTCTATATTTTATTCAAAAAGGTTTAAGCTTTAAACGATGTCGCAGGAAGAAAAGGCTGAATCCGAAGGTCACAAACCAGCCACGACATCTCATGAATCTGAACCAAGAGGCCTGAAATGGGCACACCCGATTCCTTTTCCTGAAACTGGCTGCGTTCTAGTAGCCACAGAGAAGCTTGATGGTTACAGAACGTTTGCAAGAACCGTCGTGCTTCTTCTTAGAGCAGGAACAAAACATCCACAAGAAGGGCCATTCGGAGTTGTCATCAACCGTCCCCTTCACAAGAACATCAAGCACATGAAATCAACTAAAACCGAGCTCGCTACCACGTTCTCAGAATGCTCCTTGTACTTTGGTGGCCCTCTTGAAGCAAGCATGTTCTTGCTCAAAACCGGCGATAAAACCAAGATACCGGGGTTCGAAGAAGTCATGCCGGGACTTAACTTCGGTGCTCGAAACACGTTGGATGAAGCTGCGGTGCTTGTAAAGAGAGGGTTTCTTAAACCACAGGACTTCAGATTCTTTGTTGGTTACGCTGGTTGGCAACTAGATCAGCTCAGAGAAGAGATCGAATCAGATTACTGGCATGTCGCCGCTTGCAGCTCCGATCTAATATGTAGAGCTTCATCGGAAAACTTATGGGAGGAGATTTTGCAGTTAATGGGCGGCCAGTACTCAGAGCTTAGCCAGAAACCTAAGCTGGATATGTAGACGTCATGTGTTCAATATTGATACTATTTTCTATGAGAAACTGATGCTTTTATAACTCTATATAGCCAAATGTGTATAGCTTACTTCGCTGGCTTGTATTTGAGAATAATGCAACTTCTATGCTATTTAATAAGAATTGGTTTATGAAAACTCCTGAAGGTAAGAACTAAAAAGCTTTCTATCTATCAATTGACTTGCAATACTAAAACCAGTTGTTCTAAATATACACATCTGTTTTGCTTCCCCTAACCAAAAGAAATGTCTGAGAAAGAGAGAGAGAGCAGAGCATGATGAAACAGAGGTTGTCATGTTCATTGTTCAAAGACCAGATAGATAATAGATCTGTGTAGGCAATCTCTGGGTCAAAGTTATGAAATTGTCTTAAGCACATGCTCTCACTGAAATATCTTTGTTCTTCTTGGTTCCAGATTTCTCAAGGCGGGACTTGCGTACAGCTTCTTGGATTCGTCTCTCGTGATCTTTCATCATGTCTTCAATGTTGCCACCAGGAGGCATCAACGGACCTGAATAGTGCATTCTGTTCTTCTTGCGCATGTATGTCTGAAACCACACATTATCAAGAAACTTCTCAGAGCTCCATTATTTAAAAGGCAGAAACAAGAGTTAATGAGTTGAATCAAACTTGGTTACCTTTGTGGGTTCTCTTGAAACTAATACATTCTCCTTTTGTGACGAGCTAGGTTTCACCTCTCCTACATTGCTCCTAGAGCTTTGATTCTTATTCAATGTTGGATGGATCGCTGAGTTGTTATCATAAAAGATCTTTCCTCTGTCGTATTTTCCACTCTCTTTCTTGAACCCGAACGGTGTGTTAATTAAGACATTTGAATGTCCTGAACCCATGAACTCCGGTGTTACCTTGGAGTCTCTTACACCCCTTCTCACAGATTCGTGCCCACGCCACTTCACAGCTTCAGCTTTCTTCCTGAAATTTTCAGAATGAAAAGTTTGTTTTAGGGATCTTTCCTGACGAAGAGAATAGGTTCTCTTCTTGCATTACTCACCTTCTTGCTTCTTCATCCCGGTTCTTTGCATCGAGTTCCTTGCTTGGTGGATACTTAGGCAAACTTGATATGTGACAAGGGAGTGGCTCCGTTGTAAAAAACTAGAGAGATGAATGACACAATCACTGATCAGTAAGTAATCTTGGAGAGGCTGATGAAGAAAAAGAGGGGTCAGTGGCTCATTACCTCACTCAGTAGAGTCGAAGAAGCTGAGCATCGTCTCTCTGGTTCTACTGAAAGAAGCTTGTCAAGGAGAGCTAAAGAAGAAGATGGTAAGTTCTTGAACGTCTCTAGAAGGACACGCTTATAAGGATGTTGCGGTCTGTAACTTGTAGCTTGTGGAAACTTAGTAGTTTCCCAGAATTCTTCGGATGGTGAACCACACAGCTTAAAGATCTTATGCATTTGCTCCACCTTGAAGATACAAATACCAGTTATAAAATCAATGGAACTAGCCTGAACCAGGTATAGATTCAAATCTGTGTTTAAACACTGACCTCTGTTCTTCCCGGCATGATTGGTTTACCTACAAAGAGTTCTGCAAGAATGCAACCAACGCTCCAGAGATCAATGGCAGGACCATACGCTGTAGATCCAAGAAGAAGCTCAGGTGCTCTATACCACAAGGTGACTACACGGCTAGTCAGCGGCTGATCTGAATCCGGATGATAAAAACTCGCTAGACCGAAATCTCCAATCTTGAGAACTCCATCGTTGTTTACCAAAAGATTCGAACCCTTGATGTCCCGGTGAAGGATTCCACGGCTATGACAATGCTCAAGCCCACAAAGCAGTTGTTTCATATAACATTTTATCTAAAACAGAACAAGTAGTCAATTACATTGGCCAGAGAACACAACAAGTTGATTCAATAAAGGAAGCTTTTTGAAAGTACCTCTGGCTCAGTGAATTTGACGCCAGGCCTAAGAGCTAGGCCTGAGAGATCATGCTCCATGTACTCAAACACAAGGTGCAAACTTCCTGATAGCTTTGAAGTGACAAGACACTGAAGCTTCATGACATTTGGATGGTCTAGTTTCCTCAAAATGTTGATTTCTCTAGCCATGAACCTCACACTTTCCGGATCCATATTAGCAAACCTCACCTTCTTCATAGCCACTATTTGTCCCGTCTCAAGATCCCTAGCCTTATACACAATGCTATAAGTTCCTTGTCCAATCTACAAACACAATGGTTCACATCATTACAACAATCCACTAGAAAACCAATCTAATGTTATGACTTATGATTCAGACAAAAAAAAAAAAAAAAACTGAAAGACACTAACTTTATCAATCTTCTCAAAGGAATCTGCACGGCGAGGAACCCAACCTTTAATGGCTTCACCTGCAACAGAGGTTAACCAATAAGGCCATCCAGCTGCAATAAGCTCAGCTTCTGCGCTACGAGGAACGTTCGAGATAATCAATCCTCCTCCTTTGCCATTATCTGAAACTCTTCTTCCTCGATGAGACCTCGAAGGTCTCTCTACAATCACTGTTTTGCCATCATGACTATCATCTATAGGAACAATCAAACCGCTCGCTCTTCTTGCTCCACCAGAGCTTCCATCAACGGCTTTGTGAGAGAAATCGTCTTTGTTTGAAGACAGAGGAGCAATCAATTGAACAGAGGAAGATTTGTTCCAATACTCGTTTCCTTTCTGACGATGAAACGCAACGTCTTCTCCTTCTTCTCCTGCTCCCTTTGAGCAAATGCAGCCCATAATAATAAATCTGCCTTGTTCACACAATCTCCTACTCTTTTAACACATGGTCTTTAAACAAAACAAAAAAACCAAATCTTTATCCTGATTGATCCCTAAGCATAAAAACCCGGGAACCTTCAGGTTCTATTCACCCGGAGAGATTCAGGGAGGACAAAAAGTATGAAAATCTCTGTTTTTGCAGACGGAAACTAAAAGGGTTTCTTCTAAACCCCAAAAAGGTTGTCAAATTGCTGAAAAATGGGCAAATTCGAGAGGAAACAGCTTTGGCTAAGAAAAAAAAAGTTGGGATTTTTTTTGTTTTGGTTTTTCTTACTGCAAGACAGAGAGAGAATCGTCGTTTCGATGAAAACGGAAAATCCGGGGGAAAATAAGGAAAAGGGAAGATTGTGAATAGAGAGATGGAAAGTAGAATGAGGCGAGATATGGTTTGTATGAGAGAAAAATCAGGGGAGCCCTTGATTCTTGGGAGAAGACAACTCACAAAGAATCGTTCTCTGTGTTTCTCTATCTTTAGAAATAGTCCAAAAACAGTTTGCATGAAGTTTGGATAGTTATCTCATAGTATTTTGTTCTTGAGATTGCAGAGAATCTTTATAAAGACTGCAGCAGTATTTGTTCGTAAAGGCTCGTTTTTTTCTTGTTTCCATCTTATAATATTATGAAAATCTTTTATAATTGGTAATGCAAAACAGAAATGGAAATGTATCGTATTACATTTATATTTTAGATACCTGTAAACCGAGTAGACTTGTAAAATCGAAATTCAAATTAAACACGGCATTTTAAGAAAACCGGATTTGTTTCCAAATAAAGATTATAGCAATCGGTAGAGTCATGATCACGCATTAAATCCCCATGATTGGTCAAGGCGATTAAGAGACCTTCGAAAATGAACTTTTCAGTCATACCTTTATATGACGACGGCACGACAGATCCTAACGATGATATGGATCACTACAAGAACTAGGCATGAACTAGCTTCGGTTGGATCACACAAGCCCATGGAGTGAGTGACCCTCAAGAGTTATGTCTCAAACCCATTGAGAAATCCTCAAGAGTTATGTCACAAGCTTCCACAACGAGATGGTGACAATATCCATGGGTGGTAAATTATGTGCAACATATTCACTACCATGTTAGCTCTCTAACACATATTATAAAAGTATTCCCCATATTTGACAAGAAACAAATTGTTTCATTCATTTTCTACACTTTTTGTGACCTTTCACTATAACACTTTGTTCTATTCCTTTTCTACAATTAAATTGTTCTATTTTTTTCCATACAATTTTGTTTTATTATTTTTCATTTTCCTTGTCATGGAAGAATATATTAATTTTTTTTTCGTTTATATTATTTACCAGTAATTTAACAGATACAGATTCTCTATAACAAAGCACAAACATGTCTAAAATAGAAAACCACCTAAAAGAAAGAAAAAAAACAATTAGGAAAGAAATAGATCAAACTGACAATTATTAGGGAATCTAAAAATAGTTAACACATTAAAATACTACGGATTTACTCATATGGATGCATGGCATCTAATCTTTAATATATAGTACAATTTACAAAACAATATTACCTTTCATTTTTTATGTTGTCTACCATAAATTTCTTTTTAAAAAATTACAGATTCACCACCATAAATTTATTTTACTGTCATGTTGATAGAATTTACTAATATCGCATTAAAAAAAACCTCACAATACTAAAACATCAACAGCTTTTGGATTCATTTCACTTCTTTCACAACCATTCATTCCATAACCTCTAAACTGACCTCAACATGTTAAAATCCAATGAATTTAATAGTTAAGGATTGCATCTAACTTCTTGCATCTAACGCAGCCTCACTTTTCACTTTTGTTTCGGACTGGGCCGCTACAACCAAAGGGAAGTCGTCCAATGATGTGAATAGTCCTCAATTTGCATCAACCACTATCTACCCTCCTCCTCATATCTCTTTTGAGGTCCCAAAAATCGAGTCCACTACTCATTTCAATGAGATATTTGTGACGAAGAGATTTGACTAAGATCGCAGAGCTTAAATGCAAGACCGCTAGCGAAAATGTGGCCTTCCCTTCGCGTGTGGAAGCCATCGCAGCACTTCTATGGAGATGTGCCACAAAGGCTTCATCAAGATCTAACTGGTCATCAATGATGAATCAAGCCATGTACTTGCAGCGTAGGATCCCTTCTAATGTTTGTTCACAAGACGCCACAGGCAACTTACTAACGTTCTTCTTTCTCAAGAAAGAACCAGGGAATAATATGGAAATGGATCAGATTGTGGCCGATTTTAGAAAGGCTAAAGAAAGAATCAATGAGATGATCAAAGAGAGTTCTACTAAAACAATACTTAGTCAAAACTTGGTGAAAGTGACTGTAGATTTCTTGTCGGAGTTAAAACCCGAAACAAACTTCTATGGCGTGACTAGTTGGTGTAAAAAGCGTTTTTATGAGGTTGACTTTGGAATGGATGGTCCGGTTTGGGTTGGAACTAGAGCTGCTGTTCCTGATATTCAGTTGTATGTGTTGTTGATGGATGCAAAGGATGAGGAAAGTGTAGGCCTACCCGAACAAGACATGGCCGTGTTCGTTCGTGACCAAGAGTTGCTTGCTTATGCCACCCTAAATCCCCCCATCCTCATCTAAATAAGATTTGAACTAGTAACAATGTGACATCTTGGTTTAGGGTAATGGGAAAAAAATGTTGGGTTAATGTTATGTTGATGTACTTAATGGAATTTTATTACATTCGATCTTTATTCTGCTTTGTATTAAACATGTAGTCTGTGAATTTCATCTATGTACTGAATAAGGACATGTGTTAGTGTTGTGCTGTTCTATGTGGTTATTTTAATATAAAAAGATATCACTGGATTATTCAAGAATTTTGGTTGCCTTCATCTTTTTCCTATATTTTATTTCCACTCTATGCATTTTATCTTTATTATATGTATTTATAATCTATGGAAAAATATTAGTTAATTTTTTTTTCTAATTTCCTAATTTTTCATATATTTTGTATTGGTTCAAACTATGCAAACTGAAACACACAATGTTTCATTTGTATATCTTATTTTGTTATTTATCAATAAGAATACTAATACAAATTATAAGATTCAACGACTAGACTACCATTAAGGTACTACATTATATTACAATTTACAAGCTCTAGTCAAACCATATTTTACTTTATTATATATACCAAAATTTCGATAAAAATTGTAAGAAAAATTATTAAGCTATTACTCAAAAAAGACTGCTCTAACTAAACAAGAATGTTTTAATCTAATTAAGAATTAGTTGGATTGTTTCTCCCAATGAAAACAAGTAAATACTGATGTTTGAATAATAATAAAACTGCAAAAAGCGAACAGGTGGCTCTGAACATTACTCTGCATGCAACCATGGTGTTGATCATCTAGCACTATAGGTCAAAATGAAACCCTTTTTTTTCTCCTTTGCAAAACATTTAGAAAAAAAAAATTATTTTTTTTATTTAGCGTCTCCTTTTTATCCTCTATAACGCTTTGATCATCTGATCCTGAAGTCTCTCAAATTGTTCAATCTAGCAAGAAAATAAAAAGTTAAATATGTTGTTGAACTCAGTGATGAACCTGCTGGCACCGCCGGCAACGATGGTGGTAATGGCCTTCGCATGGCCGTCGCTTTGTTTCATTAGCACATGCGAACGGCTTTATAACTCTTTTTTCGCCACCGAAGACATGGAGGACAAAGTCGTCGTCATCACTGGAGCTTCCTCTGCCATTGGAGAGGTAATATTTAAGAAATATAAGAGAGATTTTAAAATAAAAACAAATTACTTTCCAGTGAATATTTTTTAGGGTCCACTCGGTTCTTTAGACCATCTATATTTCGAAAACAAAAATTTGATTTTTTTATGAATTTAAGATGTGATCATTTTTCACAAGTTTCTTTGGTTATTTAGTAATTAATTTATATATTGGTTTGAAATAAAACATTTGATTCTAGTCTTGTGCTCACTGTTATAATATTTTCCTAAATTTAGTGTTGGACATTAATTTGTTATGAAAATTCTCTATGTATATATCGATTGAACGTTGGATGTTGACTTATGAGGAACTTTTGTGAGAAGAATCATAAGTTTGTGTGATGAATTGAAAACAGCAAATAGCGTATGAATATGCAAAGAGAAAAGCGAATTTGGTGTTGGTGGCAAGGAGAGATCAGAGATTACATTCAATAAGAAGCAAAACCAAACAGATTGGAGCAAAACAGGTCATGATTATTGCAGCAGATGTTGTCAAGGAAGACGAATGCCGTAGATTTATCAACGAAGCCTTCAACTATTACGGGCACGGTACACAAAAACACCCTTTACTTCTAGCTATAAAAATGTGACCTAACTTCTATGCCAAACAACTGTTTATGGATTATAAAGAATGTTGCTGTATATGGATGAACTCAGTGGATCACCTGGTGAATACGGCGAGTCTAGGACACGAATTTTACTTCGAGGATGTGAGTGATACGACAGTATTTCCGCGTTTGTTGGTAAGCTTACCTTGTTCCTCTTCTTGATATATGTGGATTTCAATTTCGGTTAAGTGTTCTGGTTTCTTGAACAGGATATAAACTTTTGGGGAAATGTTTATCCGACGTATGTAGCATTGCCATATCTTCAAAAGAGTAATGGACGGATAATCGTGAATGCATCAGTCGAGAGCTGGTTGCCTCTACCGCGAATGAGCCTTTATTCTGTTAGTAATCTTTCTTAAGTTTGTCTTTTATCTCCTAGAGGTTCGTTCCATGACGACTTTCTTTTTCTTTGTTTACCGTTTGCTTAGGCTGCGAAAGCGGCTCTGGCTAACTTCTATGAGACGCTAAGATTCGAGTTAAATGGGGATGTTGGAATAACAATAGCAATTCACGGATGGATTGGGAGTGAGATGAGTAGAGGAAAGTTTAAGCTAGAGGAAGGTGCTGAGATTCAATGGAAAGAAAAAGAAGTAAGATTCAATTTGTAGAGTTTTGCTTAGGGTTGGCCATTTGGGTACTTTTTTCCTTAAAGTTTATGCAAATTAGGACTAAACTTTATCGGTTCAATTGCTATTTATAAAGTTTATACAGTTTGTTTTTTTTTTCTTTTCAATTTTCTGTCAACAAAGTATATTTTTTATACGGATTTGAATTCGGATGATGACACTAATACAAACCACTAAGGTATATATATATTTCCTCGTTAGTTTGGCTTGATTTTGAATATAATAATAATACGAATACAAATATGTGTTAGTATTTAAAATTGTAAATGCAGTTTTGATTTTTGTTTTTTTAATATATTTTTTATGAGTTTTTGTAAGTTTTAGTATTTTTATTTGATAGAAAAATATTCCTGAAATTGGTTCAAAAATAAATTTCGGGTTGAGAAATTTCAGTTCAACTTGGTTTTTTCATGTTAAAATTTCAATGAGCTTAATTACACTAATAATTAAAATTCAGATAACAGGTAACGGTGGAGAAATAGAGGAATTTGCGAAGATGATCGTGGATGGTGCTTGCAGGGGAGACTCGTACGTGAAGTTCCCAAGCTGGTATGATGTATTTCTCCTTTACAGAGCTTTCACACCGAACGTACTCAAATGGACTTTCCGGTTGCTTCTGTCTACCGAGGCTACACGTCGAAACTATCGTATTGAAAAAGAAGCTTCAACGATCGAGTCAACACCAAGACTTATGCTTGAAGAATCTCCTCCTCCAAAGATTCAGGCGAGCTTGCCTAAGTTTAGTCTCCAAGAGTGGATTGAATCCGAGTAAAACTATATATCCACATTAGACATGATAAGCTCTAGATTATACCTAAGATTACAAGCAAAGTTAAAAAACTTAAACATACTATAATACACAATACGGATATCCAACAACTCCTTTGTCATGTAGCATTTTGTTTTCTATTCTTCTTAACACGTTTCCTTGGTTTCTTTTAATTGGCTTGGGAGCAAATTAGGAATCAGTTAACATCTTGGTTAAACAATAAGCTTCTTCAAAAGAAAACTTACCTTAGTGTAAATATTAAGAGGAATAAAAATCAGCCATACCAACAAATCTCAAGATTCCAAAAATCATGATAATATACCAAAATTTTCAAAATAAAGGGAAAGGAAAGGAAACCAGTTCCTCATGTAACCAAAAGAACAAACCAATTTACGTTTGTGGTCATTGGTCTTATTAATGGGTCATTTGGAGTCTCAATAGGTTAAAACATTATAATGCGACTTGCTGCCTAAAATTGTATCACCATATCAATCACTCATTGTAGTACACTAATACCAAGAATCGCCATATATCAATCACACGATCGTAATACTAAAGCATCGTATCAATTGCGTACATCACCATGAGTCATTCATAAGAACATATTATATGTCGTTATTATAGGGACCTCTAATAATAAAGTTTATGGGTTGATGAATATATATTTCAAACTTTTTGAAGATAACATTAAGGATAAGAAAAGTGTTGTAAAAGCTGAAATGTCAATGTATAGTAGGTCCCCAGGAGATTCGGGCGGCATACTGGAATAAGGAATCGTCTCTTCTGTCCCCACACGGAGTATACTATGATACCAACGCAATTACACGACTATTGTGAATAAATAAAAATATATACATCTTGATTCTACGCAATTCGATTATGATCTATTAGAAAGTGAGTTTGCAATTTTTTCCTACCTAAAAAATGAATCCAGCTCATAAGTCATAATTAATTAGACCTTCGAGAAAACTAGACACGTGCTAATATAAAAAAAGTTTCATACTCTTGTCTGCAACAGTTTTGTATTGTCTTCTTTTTTTTCTTTGTCAAAATATTTCGCTTGTTCCATACTTTCTTTAGATCGGAGACTAGTCGTACGTTGATAATATTTATGACAGCTACTTTGCCACAAGACACAAGTATAAATCATCTTTCCCCAAATATAGCACTTAGGACTCGAACTCTTGTCTGCCATAATTGTTATACTGATTTATACTATATGTCTTTTGTTAATCGAATCTCTTAACGAAACTCACTCATGCTAAGTAGATAACGTAAAGCCTTTACTTGGCGGCGGCAATGAGGAAGTGGTACGTGGTGATCTATAAAGAAAGCGTTATTTATTTTCTTTGAATGCTTTTTCTTTTTATATAGCATGTAGTATATGTATATTTGTTTTTTTGTTTAATGGTTAATCTGATTAGAATAAATGCAGCTTTACAGAGGTTTTTATTTTTTATTTTAAAAAAAAACATAATTTACTAATAAATATACAGAGGAAAAATCAAGAGGAGATTTTTTAGCATGTATATATAATAGTAAATTTGATTCAATCATTTTGGCAAATATGATGTCTTCGTTGTTAGAAGATTACAAATTGAACCCAACAAAAACACTTTGGGTCCCAAATTTATTACACTCCACTGAATAATTAATCTGCAACAACCGTATCCTTATAAGGTTGGTAATATCATCAGAAGAATAGAATGTTTAACCAAAAGTAGATCAATAGTATCACTAATCCCATATGGATTGAAGCTGCTGCATTTCAAAAAACTCATCCTTATCGTACTGACCAAAAAATCTCCCGTACAACTCTTCATAATCGCTCACATCCAATTCCTGCATCCACCCCATCCTCGGCGAGTCCAATGGATACTCATTGATAGCCTGAATCTGATCCGGAGACAATCCGACCCGAGAAAGTCCCTGACCCGACCCGATATCTGGTCCAGAAGATCCACCCGGTTTAAACAGCAGTGCTGCCTCCTGAGCAGCCGCTTGAACGTGCTCGGAACTAGAGCTTTCCGGCCGAGGAAAACTGTCAGCGAGTTCCGGGAAGTTGAGATGTGTCTCACGTCCTCGGAGGTAAAGAGCTGCAGCGTCATAAGCCGCTGCGGCCATCTCGGCCGTCTCGTAGCTCCCGAGCCAAATCCGGGTTTTCTTACCGGGCTCTCGGATCTCCGACACCCATTTGCCCCATTTCCTCCGGCGAACACCTCTGTAGGACACTTGGTCAACGGAGAAGCGTTGTTCTCGTTGACTAACATGCTTGTTTTCCATATAGTAAGTAGTATAAGGTTGTGTGTGTTTATTGAAATGTGCTAATTAGTTAGAAGACAGAGTTTATAGAGTCCGTGTTTAAGTGGAGTTGTATAAATAGAGAAATAAAGGAAGACAAATGATGGGATGGAATTTGTGGAAGGCTTGTTTGGTTTCAGGTGAAGTGAGTTTCCCACGTAGTTACGTGTGGAGTGGGATTATGCTGGCATGCATGCATGAGTTTCTACATCTAAATTGAATTGATAGATATTGTACAATATTTTTTTGTTGGTAAGGCTGTCTTTTTTAACACGTATAACTTCTAACTAGTGCATTCTAACTTAAGAAGCCCCAGCTTTAAATATATTATAGTCGACATATGTTTTTCGAATATTTGTATAATTTGGGGTCTTTAACTTCTACATTAAATTATGCATAGTTAAAAAGGCTGTCATTTCCTTACCAAACAAAAGAAGGCTGTCTTTTTAACACGTATAACTAGTGCATTCCCTGCTTTATATTTTAGAAGTATTTTTTGTAGAAATGAATATTTATATAATTTGGGGTCCTTTTAGAAAAATAATTAAACATTATATAGGTGTGTTTAATATACAAAAAAAATTATTGTCTTCCCAAATAGTAGGATCGATAGTTTTAATTTTTTTAATTAACGTATCTGCCAACAGATATGATTTTAGATTTATTAATGTCTTCTAAAGTATCGTGTTTTATGGGAACTTGTAAATGAAACGAAAAGCTACCAGTTCTTTTATGTATTTTGTAAATATGACTACCTTTTTATCTGACGTTTTAGTAACACATAAACAATGATTTTGAAATTAAGGTATTAGTACTGTCAAATGCCAACTATGCTTTTTTTTTAAAGTAAAGGGTATTACTGCCAAAACAGAAAATATTTCGAGCACAAAGTAAAATGTTTTAGTAAGCTTAATTATTTGCATTTTGAAATGCTAGTACAGCCATTTTATTTTTTGTCACAGTTTTAAATTTAAAGCACGTTAAATGTGTTGGCTAGACTTCGAGGCTCTCGAATCTAGATGATCTTATAAAACTACGATGAAGCGACTTGAATCTAAGTCAAAATGTGCCATATACCTCAAGAGTCAAGATGTAGAAAAAAAGCTCTAGACTTGACAGCAAATGTGATAACATCTACTACCCATAGATTATCAATCAAATTGACCCAAAAAAAAAAAACTGTATTGCTTATAGCGAAGGTGCAGAGAAAGAGAAACCCATCTAAATTAACCCAAAAAAAAATATATATAATATATATATATATATAAATCTCAAACCAGCAGAAGATGCTCTGTCATCCAAATAATTAATTGATTTATAGTAAAACCTCGTGTGTCGAATTTTCCACCAAAAAAAGAAAAGAAAATGGTTGCATGACGTGGCTGCATAATATGATCACCACCGCCACTAATTACCACACCGTATCACAATCCGTACAGACCAGGACCATCCGGTGGTCAAAAAGGTCTCCGGTCATAATCTCACCGCCCTTATATCTCGACGGACCCTACCATGTGAATATAACAAAACATTGCTTTACATTCTATTCTTTTGAACTCTCATATTTGTTTCTTTTGTTCAAGAACAATATGTTTAAGTACTTTAAAGTTATTTGAAACTAAGAATTAAGTAGTTAAGAAGTCTATGTAAATATAAGCAACGATGATAGCCGTTACATCAGATACAAATAAGGTGATAATATGTGCTAATAAAAGAATATTTCATGCTATTTTAAAAAAAAAAAAAAAAAAAGAATATTTCATGCTATGATTTATCATGTATCTCTATTAATTACTATCATTAATCCTGGCTTTTGGGTGACACGTGCGTGAAAGGGAACCCTTTGACCAGCGGTGGGAGACATCAGACACGATCACACGGTACTGACTGTAGTTTGTACTGTAACATTGTCTGTCGACCTTTATCTCAAATGTCGACGATAGATAATTCATAATTATAATCAGTAATCAATATATAATATTTATATTTTCTTATTAGTGAAAGCAATAAAGCGTAATGAACAAAGTGATGATTATGAAAAATTGTTATTGCTGTAATGAAATCGTTACAGAGAGTCTCTCTAGACTTTGTGTAGAGAATTTCAACTAAATTTATATCGGTCAGCATAATTATTTGGTTGACTTAACCGGATATTGCCTTTCACTATTCTTATTTATCTAATATATTTTTCTCAGTATGAGTTGATCGAGAATAAGTTCATATTGTAATGAGATCCGTGTATGGAGTAGGAGATAGAAACTTTGTAAACACTTGTAGAAGTTGATTTGTCAAGCTATGCATTGTCTTAATCAACCCACTCTCAATCTTTTTCCTTGTCACATAGCAATCAATGTAAATGTGCTTAATTGTTAAATCACAAAACAAAGCAACAAGATAACATGCAATTTTGTGAGTACCTTTACTAACCAATCAATAATCTCACAAATTGCCAATGCCATAGCCTTGTTAAGGAAATAATATATACATATAGGATCTCTTTGTATTCATAGTGATTTACCCTACTTGTAACTATGTATATATACTTTTTACATTTCTGATAAAGCACATTATTTTTAGCATATTCTCTATATGGTAGCAGAGTCATAGAATACCTAAATTTTTCTCTTCCTCTCTAAACCGCCACTTCTCTCTTGCAAATCTAACCCTTTCATCAAAATGTCAAACCAGACATCACCAACTTCTTCAACTGAAACCATTACTGTTTCTGACACCACTACTCTCCTAAATGTCAACATGACAAATATTACAAAGCTTACCTCTTCCAATTTTATTATGTGGAACCGACAGGTCCACGCTCTTCTTGATGGATATGATCTCGCCGGCTACGTTGAAGGCTCGATCATTATTCCTGCAGCCACAGTCACTACACCTGCTGGTGTTACACTGAATCCTGCTTACAATCTCTGGAAGAGACAGGATAAACTGATTTACAGTGCTCTCCTTGGAGCGATCTCCATAAACCTGCAGCCCCTTCTGTCTACAACAAAGACTGCTGCTGAGATCTGGAGTATCCTTACAGCAACCTATGCCAAACCAAGTCGTGGCCACATCAAGCAATTGCGCTAACAACTCAAACAATGGACAAAAGGTAATAAGTCGATTAATGAGTATTACCAAGGTCTCACTACTCGTTTCGACCAACTTGCTCTCCTAGGCAAAGCTTTCGATCATGAAGATCAACTCGAACATATCCTTGAAGGCCTCCCTGAAGATTACAAGACAGTCACAGACCAGATTGAGGGTCGTGACACTCCGCCTACACTCACTGAAGTTCACGAAAAACTCATGAGTTAAAACTTCAGTCCTCACACAACACCATCTCTTCCGCTCCGATGTCTGCACACAACATGCAATACAAAGGTCAGAATCACAACAACAGTAATCGTCATCAGCGCACAAGTCATGGAGGCTATCAGGATAAACCGACTTGGCAGCAGCAACAGTTTACACCACGACAGAATCAGAACTCACCTCGAGGCTACAAAGGTCGCTGTCAGATCTGTGGAATCCATGGGCATAGTGCTCGTCGCTGCTCACAGCTTCAACTACCTGCAGGGTCTTCCTCTCACTCAATGCAATCGATGAATGCACTGTCAACATGGCAGCCTAGAGCAAATCACGCTGCTGCATCATCTTTTAACCCGAACTCATGGCTTCTAGATAGTGGTGCTACTCATCACCTCACTTCTGATCTGAACAACCTTTCTCTTCACCATCCATACAATGGCGGTGAAGAAGTTGCAATTGTGGATGGCTCAGGTCTACAGATCTCACACATGGGTTCAGCTTCTCTCCCTACACCATCTCGTTCACTTCTTCTTCGAGATGTTTTATGTGTTCCCAATGTGCACAAAAATTTGATATTTGTCTACCGTCTATGCAATGCTAACCAAGTGTCGGTTGAATTCTTTTCTGCCCATTTTCAGGTGAAGGATCTCACAACGGGGGTCCGGTTACTCCAAGGACGAACGAAGGATGACTTGTATGAGTGGCCAGCATTTCCATCTTCTTCCCCATCCGCTCTTTTTGCTTCCCCGGACACCAAAACCACCCTCTCACAATGGCACAATCGCTTGGGCCATCCCTCTTTGTCTACTCTTAAATCAGTTGTTTCCAAGTTTTATTTGCCTTGCTTAAACACTACTTCAAGTATCTCTTCTTGCAATGATTATCTTCTTAATAAAACACATAAACTTCCTTTCCACCAAAGCTCAATCGTCTCAACTAAACCTTTGGAATACCTGTTCACTGATGTTTGGCAATCCCCTGTTTTATCCACTCAAAACTTCAAATATTATCTCCTGATTGTGAATCATTACACAAGATATTCATGGCTTTTTCCTTTAACTGCCAAATCCCAAGTCAAAACCATCTTCATACAATTTCGAGCCCTTGTTGAAAACCATTTTCAAACACGCATCCAAACACTGTACTCCGACAACGGAGGAGAGTTCCTGGCTCTTCGCCAATTTCTATCCGCCAACGGCATATCTCACTTCACTACCCCTCCCCATACACCCGAACATAATGGCTTATCTGAAAGGAAATATCGCCATATCGTTGAAACTGGGTTATCCCTTCTCACTCATGCCAACATTCCTCTCTCCTACTGGCCATATGCATTTGCTACTGCAGTCTACCTTGTCAATCGCTTACCCACGCCAATACTCTCAAACCAATCTCCTTTTCAGAAACTCTTCCAAACACAACCAAACTACACAAAACTACGTACCTTCGGCTCTCTCTGCTTCCCTTGGCTACGTCCCTATGCCCCAAACAAACTGGAAAAATGCTCTCTACCATGTGTGCTCATCGGATACTCACTAACTCAAAGTGCGTATCAGTGTCTTGATCCATCTTCAGGAAGAATCTATGTCTCTCGACATGTTCGCTTCAATGAGCATCAATTCCCTTTTCGTTTACTGGCCAGTTCTCAAACACGTCCACCACCAGAAACTCCA